GTTTTCTTCCCGAGGTCCTACACATTTGCTGCGAGCTGTTTCATCTTGTTTGTTACTATTGTCAATGCAGTTTGGGGTCCACCACTTTTTCTCACCACTGATTTTTGCTTGATTTTTGGACTGCCGTGTGACTTCCCCGCTGGACGGTAAACCGTGAGGTTTTCCATCACCACTGTGTCCTGGTGCCTGGCAGTGCGAGTGGTGGTGAGCAGTGAGTGAGTGAGCCTGCTGACGGGGGGATTATTTAGACAGAGAAGGCACTTCCTCCGCTGGAGGCTGATGTCCCCCCAAAGCATATGCCAGCCAGCAGGGACCCAGAACCATTGGTCTCCCTCTTTTCCTCCCACGTTTGCTGAGCCCTGACAATGCGCCACGCCTTGCCGGGCGCTCTGGGACATAGACCACCCGTCCGGCTCCAGACTGGGCTTCACCCCCCCAGCCACATGGGTGCAGGTGCAGGTACGAGCGAAGGCTCAGAGAGCAGTGATGCCGGCTCTGCTTCCCATCGCTGTCTGAGGTGGGGCAGATGCCTTCGCCCGCTTGAGCCTCAGTTCCTTGCCTGTTAAAATGGGGCTAATAAGGATACCTCCTTTACAGGGATGTTGTAAAGGTCAGTTGTGTGATGTGTGTAGAATACTCATCGCAGGCCCTGGCACAGAGGCTGTGTTCAGTCAACGCTGGCTGTCATTGCTGCGACTGGGAGAGAAGGTGGGAAGGCTGCTGCCCTGGGCGTGAGGCCTCAGGCCTGTCTGGCCCAGGCCTCTTGAATCGGCTGATGGGTTGTCCGACTCAGTTCTAGTCTAGATATTCTTCGGGCCAATCTTTGGGTCTCTCCGGTCTTAGTTTTGTTGCGTTTTTTTCTTTTTTCTCTAAATTGCAGATCCTATCTCTTCCCTAAACCTCTTTACAGGGCTGGAGGGGGTAAGAAGGATGATGGAGAAGGTCGTCTTAGAAAGTAAAAATGTGATGCAGGAGAAAATTTGGTTTTAATATTTGACAAACGGACATTAGCCCCACTTGTCGTGTGGCTAGCATCCAGATACGCTGTGCCCTACCATGGGCGACAGGGCCTGGTGCATCCTCATCCCCCGAGGTGTTTGGTTGAAACCTTATCCTTAATTACCAAGCTTGTTGTTGAGAGCAGTGTGTGCTGTCTCAAGGGCCATCTGGAATCTTCCCGGATTCAATCTCCAGCCAGCTGTGTGTCCTTGGGCAAGTCACGTTCCCACTACCCGCCTCCTGCTCCCCGTCTTTACGATTAGGAGGTGAACTAGAATGATCTCGACGGTCTGTCCCTCCATGCCCTGATGTGCTGGGATTCCAACACAGATAAATCTGGGCCTCATTAGCCAAGCACGCTATGGCGATCTCTTGAGGAGATGGATGTTTGGCGCTATCACAATTGTGAAAATAGAACAGGCCTCTGACTTGTAGCCAGAACATAATGAATCCCATTTCTGTAGAACAGTGATGACGACGGGACCAGCCATGTAGTGGGGTTTTTCTGGCGTGGCTGGCCTATCTGACCCAACATCCTCTGCTAGAAATATGGATGTGAGATTCTGGCTAAACAGTTTAACGCGGTGCCTGAGGAACTTCCGAGTAAAGCCAGGCGCGAGTCACTGAGGTAGCTTCCCATTCTCCCAGGCCGTCGGGACCGACGCTGTACTTTGTGTCTGCATTGGTTCAATGGGTGGGACTTTCTTCCACACACCTGTCCAAGTTCCAGACTGTCAGAGGCGGGAGGGGTGTCTGGGACCACTTAGTCGAAGGCCTCACTTTACAGATGGGGGACCCCGATGACTGGAGGGGGAGAGCTTGCTCAGGACTTGCAGCTGGTGGGCAGAGATCCATAGACGCTTCCGGGCCTCGCTTGGCTTCTCTGTGGCTGGGACTGGACTCCCCAGTGGCCCCTACCTGCCCTTGCAAGTCTGGCAGTTACTCTCTTCCCAGATTTCCCTGCCAGCCTGTCTGGTTCCCTCTCCTAGAAGGTGTGTTTGGCAATCTCTCCACCCTTGTCATCCAGGGCCTTGTCTGATAGGCTAAGGATTCGGCCTTTATCCCAGGGGGCAAGAGGGAGCCATCACAGGTGTCAAAGGTGGCATCATGAACTTAAGATATTTACGGAGCCCTAAATACTGGCAGGAGTTTGGCGACCAGCGGACAAGGGAGGCAAGAGGAAGAAATACAAAGGGCCCTGCTCTCAAGCAATGTACAGTCTTCCTGGATGAGCCAGAAGGTTCTAAGCAAGGGAGTGACCTGATCTGATGTGTAGCAGGTGAAATGGAGAGGAAGTAGTTGGAGGCAGGGAGGGGGCTGCCACAGAGCCCAGTGAGAGGCGGTGGGGCCTGAGCCAGGGCTGCGCAGGGGGAATGGAGGAGCCTTTGTTTTACAGGTGGAGTCACAGGCCTTGGTCACTGATTGGACCTGGAGGTGGGTGACAGTGAGGGGGAGGGGACTGATGATGCCCAGGGCTCTGGCTGGACTGTCACAGCCTGTGACTGCCCAGCTGGCAGAGGAACAGGGTGGGTGCTGCTGTTTGTCCCAAGGTGTCCTTAAGGGACGGCACAGCCTTACTGCATGGTGACTGCAACCTCTCCTTTGGGTTCTGTCCTCCCGTTGTCTGTGTTCTCCCCTTGGGCGCCCCCCACCCCCTGCCAGGAGAGCTGGACTGATGCAGGGTTAGCCCTGCATGTCAGGGGGCTGGAGCGTGTGAGTGATCATGGAAGGATTGTCTGTGCACATGTTTGATCACTATTTTTGACCTGAAAAGTGCCTTAGAGGTTATCCTGTCTCTAGTGAGCAAAGAAAGACAAGGGAGGAGGGGACAGAGAGTTCGTGGTCATGGCCCAGGTCCTTCTCCTCCCATATCCTGGTCTCGCACTTACTTGTTCCTGTTTTGAAGTAAAGGAGCCTGGAGGTACAAAAGGTATAAAAGATATGGCCCTTTCTCTTGAGGAGTTATAATTTAATTGAAGGGCCAAGAAGAAATGGGAAGCCGCTAGGAAGCAGCACAACAGCCAAGTAGACAATGCATGGAAAGGAAGTTTCATGAACTGGGAGTTCAGAGCAGGCTTTAGTAGTGTGGGAAGGCTTCCTGGAAGAGTTGGGCCTTGAGACGATAGGCCTAGAAGGTGAGGGAGAATGGGAAAGGGAGATCAAGGCAGCAGAGGGAACTGCCTGCGCAAAGGTGCAGAGGTGGGAATCTGGCATCTAGGCTACCTCCCGGGTAGTCAGGTGCTGGGTCTTCTGGGCACTGGGGTCCTTTGTGGGCTCCTGCAGCGTGGGTACAGTGCAGGGTGACAGAGTAACCTAAAGGGTCTGGGAGGTGTTTCCCAACCCCCAGCCCCTCTCCCGAGGGGCCCCTTCCCAGGCTCCTGGAATACGAAGTCCGTTGAGGCCTCCCCGGGCAGGACTTGTGCCCTGAGGTTTGCTTGGTAGGCTCCCAGCTGGGCAGTGGGTCCCCAGCTGCAGGATGGGATTTGGGATTTGGGGAGCTCTGTACTTGCCCCAAGAGGGTCCAGAGGTTTGTCACTGAGGTCTGAGTGAGGAGTGGCCTGTGCAGAAGAGCTAGTTTCTGCTGGACAGAGCTGCCCAGCCAAACCGAGGAGCCCAGGGAACGTCAGAGCCTACAGCCCAGCTCCTGGGCTACCCACGCCCTTGGCTGAGCCTCTCCCTGGGCTGCCTCTGTCCCCAGGGTGTGAGGAGAGCAGAACCTCGCCAGGCGAAGGCTTCAGCCCAGACTTGCCACGGAAGGGCCTGGCTTGGGCCCCTTGCTTGGCACTCTGGTCACTCAGGGGTTAAATGTTTCACCAAGCCTCAGCCCCAGGCGTGGCCCCTGGGAACCTGGAAGGGTAGGAGCCAGCAGAGACAGCCCAAGGGAGGGGCACTCCCTGCGGAGAGAAAGGAGCTCAGAGGGGACCAGCCTCACCCAGCCAGGACAGGAGCCAAAGGGTTAACAAAAGTAGCGGTGCTGATAAAATGCCCCAAACGCCTGGTCCTACCTCCAGTGGGAAGGGCGTCTGGTAAATGTCAACGATAAAAAATACATTTTAATGGCACGTGATGCTGCGCTACCGTGGGGCACAGCCAAATGGAGTGGGTTTGGGGCCACAACTACCGTGTGTTTCTCCCAGGGCTCTGGGCCAAGTCTCCTGGGCTCTTCGCCTTTTGCCCCAGGCATCCTCAAGGGCTGGGGGTGCCTGGGGCCTCTGGGCTTCCTCCTACCTTGGTACCTTGAACTCTAGTCCCTGATGGCACTCCCCTCCTGGCTGAGAGCTGCCTGGGACAAGTCTGAAGGCACAGTGCCTCTGGGTGTCCCCAGTGTCCCCTCAGCAGGCCTCTGTGAATGAAGAAAGGAGTGCCCCGAGGGAACAGGTCGGAGGGCACCATTTTCCTCAGCATCCCCCCTCCCCCATCTTGCAAACCCTGGGCTGTGAAGCTGCTTTTGTTGCTGACAAATGTGAGAGGAGGGGCTGAGCGCCCACCGCTGACAACTCTCCAGAAAGGCAGGTCCCTAATAAGTGGGGAGGGGTGAGCAGGGGAAGAAGAGCTGGATAGGACAGGGGGAGGCCCGGGGAAGAGTCAGCCTGCCGGGCTGCAACCTGAGGCTCAGAGAAGTCGAGGGACTTGCCTGAGGTCACACAGTGAGTCAGTGGCACCTGGACTTTCGCCTACAACTCAGAATTCCACCAACTGCACTGTGCTGAGTTCATTGGGGGCTTTTAAATGGTTATGTCCCCATTTCCACACTGAAGGGTCTGTAGCATCTGGGAGGTCCTGGGACCAGGAGTTGGTGCTGGAGCAGAGAGTCCAAGTGGGGCCAGGGGCCTGGTTGTTCAACCTTCAAGGGAGGTTTGGACCTTTCTGGGCTCAGCCCCTGTGGTCAGGCCCTGGAGCCCGGGTGTTTAGGACAAGGAAAGCCAGCCCCAGGCCAGCTGAATGAGACCGAAGACAAGAGGGTGGGGACCCGCAGCTCAGAAGAGACCCTTCTCTTCCAGATCATCCTCAACTCCATGCACAAGTACCAGCCGCGGCTACACATCGTGAAGGCTGACGAGAACAATGCTTTTGGCTCCAAAAACACAGCTTTCTGCACCCACGTGTTCCCAGAAACTTCCTTCATCTCTGTGACCTCCTACCAGAATCACAAGGTACAGCACCACCACAGAGGCAGGAAGTGAAGCCCCGATGCAGCAGGGCTGAGGCAGGCAGGGCAGGCGCCTCAGGAACCTGCTAAGCCCTGCAGAGCAGTGAGAAATGGAGTGATGTGCAGGAAAGGAGACCAGATTCCTGAACCCCCAGCACAAAGTAACTGTGGTCTCTGTGCTGGGGATGGACAGAGTTGGCAACTGTAAAGACCGGGAGCGTGGAGCTTGCCCTGTGGCTCAGTGCTGGGCCCTTTCGTTCTACAGTCTTCTTCTCCCGGGTGGGATTCTGCACCTGCAGAGAGAAGGGGATGGAACAGGGAGAGGAGCCCTGGGGCACTGCCAGCTGTGTGGGAGCAGGTGACTGAGCCATCTGGAGGCCCTTCCCAGGCAGCGGTCACAGGGTCCTGGCATGTCCTGGCCCACCTTCCACCCCAGGCCGACCACCCCAAACTGCCTCCCGATCCCCTCCCGGGCCACTCTCCCCTGCCCCCGCCTTTGCCCACGCCATCCTTCTCAGAAGGCTTTCACATCTGCACAGTGGGACTGGCCAGATCAGGGGAAGGATCTTAGGCAGAAAAGTGACAGAGTCAGGTTTGCATTTAGAAGAGTCACGCAGAACCTGATGTGGCATTTGCACTGGAGGGGGATGATGTGCAGGCGAAGCTGCTACAGGCCGCCGGGAGAGGATGATGAGGGGCTGAATCGAGGTAGCACAGCGGGCGGGAGAGCGGGAGACAGAACCAGAGGTTCTGCTGCAAGTGGAAGGGATAGGAGCCGGCCACGTGAAGGGCAAGGCCAAGGAGGCCTCAGCAAGACGCAACTTCCCCAGACACTGCCGGGGGTTCCGAATGTGCCTGGGGTCGGGGAGGAGGGCCAGAGGCCAGCCCAGTCCTCTCCCCGCAGTGACTCTACCGTGTATCCTGTCCTGACAGATCACACAGCTGAAAATTGAGAACAACCCTTTTGCCAAGGGGTTCCGGGGCAGTGACGACAGTGACCTGCGCGTGGCCCGGCTGCAGAGGTGGGGCTGCTCCGGCCTGGGGGTGGGGTGGGTGGACCGGGTGGCCCGGGTTCAAGCACAGGGACTCCGTAACCCTCAAGGTATCTCCACTCCCTTCCCGTGTCCCGCTGACTGTCCTCCCCTCTCCTCCAGCAAAGAATATCCCGTGATCTCCAAAAGCATCATGAGGCAGAGGCTCGTCTCCACCCAGCTGGCATCCAAGCCTGACGTCAGCCCCCTGCATGGGGCTCACCAGGCGCTCCAGCACTACCAGTACGAGAACGGGGCTCACATGCAGTTCGCTGCGGCTGAGCCCCAGGACCTTCCCCTCAACACCTTCCCAGCCCAGAGGGACTCCAGCCTCTTCTATCACTGCCTGAAAAGACGAGGTACCTCTCTCCTGGTCTAGAAGCCCTGGAGGGTCGGGGGGTGACACTCTCCCCACAGACACTCCCCACTGCACATGTGATCATGCATGGGTGCACACACACACACACACACACACACACACACCTGGTTATTGTGTGGCCTGGGAGAGCGAGCCTGAAGCGTTGGGGACCGTGGCCAGGCTCAGTACAGGGATACGCTTCTTGCTTTCCACGCAGCCCTCCGAACCCTCACAGGCAGCTTGCGGCCTTGGTGTCCCCAGACACCGGTACCCCTCCCTGGCCCCAGGTGCTGCTTTCAGCGGGGTGGGCAGAGGACACGAGTCAGCCAGGCTCTGTCTCTAGGTGTGGGAGGAGGTGGAAGCGTCACAATCCCGAGGTTTCCACTTAGGGAGGCGACCTCCATCCTAACACAGGGAGTCCCCAGCACAGGCTCCCCACCGCATCACACCAGATCTGCAAAGGCTTCTTGAAAGTGGCAGGGAGCTGTTGTGGATGCAGACCGGGGACCAGGAAGACAGGCAACAGACTTGTCCGTGCTGGCTTCTTTGTGAGGAAGAGGAGCCCTGAGCCGAGAACCAGATGTGCTCTGGTGCCAGGTCTCGATTTTTCCCTCTATAAAATATGAATGATCAGTGTTATTACACCAGAAGTCCTCACAGGGCCACTGAATTGTCTTGGGAATGAGTTTGGGGACTTTTGCTTGCAATCCAGAATGTTCTCTCAGCCCAGCTCCTAGGGACCAGCCAGGCAGGCCCCTGAGTACCCACCACACCAGGTCTAGTAGAACTAGTGACCTAGAGCAGGGGCTGGCAAACTGCGGCCTCTGGACCAAATCTGGCCTGCTGTCTGTTTTCGTTCAGCCTGTGAGTCATACAAAATGGTTTTTACATTTTAAATAGTTGAAAAAAGTCAAGACTCTTTCATGATACATGAACATTATATGAAATTCAAAGTTTGGTATCCATAAATAAAGTCTTATTGGAACACAGCCAAACACATTTATTTACCTACTGTCTGTGGCCTCTTTCCTGCTGAGAATCCCTAGAGAAAACAGAAGGAGGGAGACCAAGACAAGCGACCCGACAAGTGTTCTTGAATTCGTTGAGTGGGCTGTCGCCCAAGTCCTCAGGCCTGGGTCATCCCTGTATCCCAGGGGAGCCCGTGCTCGTCCAGAGACTCAAGCCCTCATGCTCAAGGATGTTGAAAGACACACATCCGTGGTTTGGAGCAGTTAATGTCACGTTTCCTGAGACACAGTATTAGCTTAGCCTTAAAAGTACTAGTCACCTTTTACTTATTAACAGCTCCATTTCTTAATTGTGTAAACGCTGTTATGTTGGAATCTGTGTAATTACAATCTGATGGGACTTCTTTGAACACATGTAGGGTTTACTTCCTCCTCTAAAAGCAATAGGAGCGTGCCTGTGAGTAGCTTTGTCTTGCTAAAGCCTTCCTGGGAGTGGAGGATTGAGGCCGAAGCATCGAGGCTTTACTTTTCTGGCTAATTCAGGCAGATGTAGCCTCCGGGCCCGGTTTGGGCTGGCAGTGGCTTGCACTTTCCTTGGCCAGGGTGGGCCTAGCCTAAGAGCGCCAGTGCACATTGAGGCCTCTTACCATCCCCAAGAGTCAGGGTGGCAAAGGATCAAAGCTATACACTGCCTGGCTAAACACATCACTTAGTGTCCAGTGATGCAGTGTGCCCCGTGGCCTTTGAGCATGGTCCATGATCGGACCACTTCTTGGCTGCGGCCGCCTTTGAAAAGCTGTAGCTGATTAAAATGGTTCTGGGAGTGCCGTGGTAGCGTGGGGCAGTGGGGGCCCTGAATGACAAGGATGGGCTGTCCTAGCGTCCAGCGGGGGTATTCGGGGCCCTGGGCTGGCGGAAATGGCTCTTCCTGAGGTTTCTTTGTCTTCCGGCAGACAGCGCCCGCCACCTGGACTTACCCTGCAAAAGATCTTATCTGGAAGCTCCCACTGCAGTGGGGGAGGATCATTATTTCCGGTCTCCCCCTCCCTACGACCAACAGATGCTGAGCCCCTCCTACTGCAGTGAGGTGACCCCACGAGAAGCCTGCATGTACTCAGGTTCAGGGACCGAGATCGCCGGTGTGTCCGGGGTGGACGACTTGCCCCCGCCCCCACTGAGCTGTAACATGTGGACGTCAGTGTCGCCGTACACGAGCTACAGCGTTCAGACCGTGGAGACTGTGCCTTACCAGTCCTTCCCCACGCACTTCACCGCCACCACTATGATGCCCCGGCTGCCCGCCATCTCGGCTCCGAGCTCCCAGCCACCCGGAAGTGCCCACTTCAGCGTCTACAATCAGCTCTCACAGTCTCAGGTCCGAGAGCGAGAGCGGGGGCCCGGCGCCTCCTTCCCGAGGGAGCGCGGCTTCCCTGGCACCGGCACCGCGTGCGAGCGGAAGCCGCCCTCGCCGCACCTGAATGCTGCCAACGAGTTTCTCTACTCGCAGAGCTTCTCCTTATCCCGGGAAGCCTCCTTACAGTATCATTCAGGAATGGGGACTGTCGAGAACTGGACTGACGGATGACTCTCAGGGCCCGCCCACAGCCCCAGTACCGGGTTGACCCAGCATTAACCTCTGAGGGTGGCGTGCACTACCAAGAAACACAGGAAGGTATCATAAAGGGTGGGGTGTGAGTGCGCGTGAGCGTTTCTTTGGAGGGCATCTATCTTCTGACATAAGACTGAGGCCATGACAAAGGAAAAAACACACTATCTCGGAAGTGATTTTGGCTGCAGGACCTGGATCCACTGTTATCTGATATCTCTTGACATGCCCATGGGTGGGATGGGAGTGGAGAGTTCAGGTGGTGAGGTCTCTCCCGCAGGGGAAGTCGGGGTGGGAGGGGTCTCTGCACATCTTAAGAGCCCTGGCCTTGCAAGGGAGCTGAGAATCTTGTTTTGGGAGCAGGAGGCCCATTCCTTGGGCTTCCGGAGATTCTGTGAGACCACGTGACAGGTGGGCTCAGCTAAGCCACGAAGCCCTTCTGGGAGAGGAGCGCTGACTGCTCAGTTAGTGGCCCGGAAATTGATCCCCGGAGCTCTGAGGTCTGAGGGACAATTTTTAGAGAGTCATGGGCTAAGTGCCACCTGATGGGTATTAAAACATTGCTTTTTCCTTCAAGAGGGAAAACACAACCAGTAGCATCTCTGGCATCATTCAGGTTTTCTTATAACGTACAAAGCCCTTCCCCCTCCGTCCCCAGTATACAGCCCCTCACCCTCTCTGGTGCACAAGACTCACCTCTCAGGCCCCATCTGCGTCCTACGACTGGCCAGTAGGAAGCACACTTGACCTGGCAGTGTCCCCAGGAGACCACACTGGAGCTGCTGCCCAGCAGCTCTAGAGCCCGTTCTGCTCCCAGAAAATCCTCGCCTCTGGAGCAAGAAAGCCCAACAGAAATAAAAATGAGAATTCAGAAGACATTCATTTCTTCCAGTGAATTCAGCCAGTGAGCTCAGAGGAGCAAGGATAATTCTTCTCCAGGGAGGTGGATCTCGTCCTCAGCTCAGCTCTTTAGCATTGAAAGTCACCAGACCGTCCCTGTGGCTGGTGTGAACTCTGTAATCAAATTTGGGAAATCACTAAACTCTTTGCATGCTGAATAGCTATTTATATATTATATAAATAAATAAATAAAATAAAATATATAAATATATATATCTCACAAATGCAGGCCACATGTCCAATTCAGCTTTGCTTTTTTACAAATGAATAAACTTAATAAAATGAACGTTGGAGAGGGTGTTTGGAAAGACATCTATTTAAATCTTTATTACACATTTGATGTTAAAAACAAAGAATGGTTTAGATAAAACATACAAATAAATAATTATATATAAACACACACACACTACAGATTACACTTTATTAGAAGACACATTAGCTAACGGGATATGGAACTTCAAGTGTTTTGTTATATAGCATGGACATTTTATTTTACATATCAGAACATAAAGCCATTTTACAACTGTGAAGTGTGTGGATGCTCTTTACTCCTGACTTGTCATTTCCTGGCTCAGCAATGGTCTCTGCTTTCCCTTTGCTCATATATTTTCTCAAGGGCCAGGTGGAGCCCTTAGTGCCTCTGCGCATTTGTTCCATGGAGCCTCTGAGCTCAGAGTGAAGTCATTTAGGACCAACGGAGCAACTGTACCTTTGATCTCATGCTACTCCCCAGACGATGGACCTGGATTCCAGGGCCCACAAAGACCCCAGACGGGCAGGGCAGACAGTACTCAAGAATCTGTCAGCTTTTAGTAGTGGACATGCAACCTGGTGGTTTGGGGGAGATGGGCTCCCAGGTGGGGAGTTCTTGGTGGGATTTGTGCAGCTGCCTCAGAGAAGGAACTGAAGAGCAGGTTGGAGTCAGAGCCCAGGGCTTCCTGGAGCAAGCAGTCAGCTATGTGAGCCCATCAACCACCTGCACCCCCAGGGGAGGAATCCAGGCCTGGCAGAGACCTCCGCCTGTCTACCCCTCTGCCAGATCCCTGACGCTGGCCTCAAGATGGGGGTGGGATAAAAGGAGACAAAGTCCAGTCCAGGTTCACCCTCCTAGATGAGAAGAGAAGCTGGTGTCAGAAGGCATGTTGGGTCTCCCTCCTCACAACCCCTTGCCTCTTGCCCCCTCCCCTCATGGCTCCTTTTCCAAAGCTGCTCCCTGTCACCCACCATCTCCAGGAGCGAGCCATGAGAAGAGAAGGCAAGGGTAAGGGATGCCCTTTCAATCTGGTCCTCACCAGGATTAAGATGGGATTTCCTGCTGGGTAAAAAGTTAACCTTGTCTCCTGTTTCCCCAGGGTCCTGCCCTTGTGGCCCTGGGTTGCTCTCTGGCTGGACTCCTCCCTGCAGAAGGAGGCCAAGCTCCTTTTTTCCCTTTGCTGTCGGCTCCCACCTTGGGCTTGTTGGTCACAGAGAAAAACTTAACTTGGCTCAGGAGATAGGGAAGAGGGGGGTTCTTCCTAACCCACACCTGTACTGCTCTTTTCTTTCTGGGTGAAGACAGCATTCTGGGATACTCTATACCTTCTACAACCACGTGTAGGGGGCTGGGAGCTAGATGTATGTTCCCAGGCTCTCTCCAGACACACAGTTGCCTGACTTGGAGGTAAAGAAAGCCGCTTCTTAAGAGAGATGTTGTCTTTAGGCAGCCCGCTGCTTCCTACCAACTTTCTGGGAAGCATGAGGTCCGTGGGCTTCCCCAGCTGGACATGGCTAGAACAGGGCCTACAGTGGGATTTGTGGAACTTTCCTGCCCCTCTGAATCAACAAGTCAATAAAAAGGGGGCACATGGGATACCCTGGAACAAAGGGCACCATTCAGTAGCACCAACAGGTCATACATCATGGGGCCAGAAACCTGCCACATGAAAAGTGTCTGCTGCTGCTGTGCCCTGCCTGGGAAGGGAAATAAGAAACGATGAACGTTCAACTGTGAGCCATAGGCAGGCCGCCCCCAGGGCTCTGCCCTCAGCCCAGGGCCAGGCCCCTGGAGTAAGCTGGCCTAGGCTCCCAGCCACAGCTCAGCCACCCAGCTGCCCCTCCAGTGACAGAAGAGCCTGGAATAACCAAAGGGAGAATGAAAAGAGAAGCTGGGTCAGACTGACAAATTGTTAAAAAACCAAACCAACTTCCAGCCTCCACTGGGCCTCAGGGGGTCAAGAGGCCTCGCCTCTCCCCACTAATGGAGCCTGCTGGAGGAGTAGCAGTCCCAGCCCTGCAGTGTCTTATCTTACAACATAAAATTAAAACCCACTTAAAAGGCCGGAGGGCATGTTAACATTCCCCCTGCTGTCTAATTGAAGTAGTTCCCAGCGCAAAGGATTTCACTTGAAAGATGTCTCCCTCCAAGCCCGGGTTCTCCTGCTTGGCGGCCCGGGGAAGGGGGTGGGGAGAGACAGGGCATCATTTCAAAAACCAGCAGGAACTTAGGCGGGAAAAGCGTGGGTCCTGTTGGCCGCCCGCACCCTACAGGCGGCAGGTGGCGACGGCAAAGGTTAGGACAGGCTGGATTGTTTTGTATTTTTTAAAAATCTGCAAATTCATTAGCAGCTATGTCAGCAGAGGCCAGACTCCTGACAAGAAGGCCTGGTAATGATTCAAATGCGGTGAGCCCCACAGCAAAACCTGGCAGTTCCCGAGGCCAAGAGATTTCTATTCGGTCCCCCAACGACGCCCTCCTCCCTCCTATGCAAATATATTACAGGTCTCCAAGGCATACGGAATCAATCAGGGACATCCTGTAAAGGTGATGAACTTGCACTGGCCATCCTGAGTAATGGGAACCAGTCAGCCTGAAGCCCGCTGCGACTGAAAACCAAGGTGACAGCTATTAAGCAATTGTGTGCAGAACAAAATGGCAAAGGGGCCGGGTAATCAATTCAATTTCGATGGGCAACCCAAGCAACTGCCGCGTCTGTCACAGCTGATTAGAGAGGGCCCTGCTGGAGCTTTCAGTGCGAGCCCATCACAGATCAGAAACAGGCCCGGATGAAAAGGGAAAGAACCGTCATCCTGAGGAGCAGGCGATGAAGGACTCTGTTTTATGTGACGGTGTTCTTCCTTCTCTCCTTGAAGAGTCGAAAAAAAGCCAGCAGTTTGGAGATTAGATAGTTTTCTTTTCAGCCATTTATCATTATGAAGGAAAGTAGACAGGGCAGGGGCAGAAAAATCTCCAGTGGGATTTCTGCGAAGTCTCACTAAGAAGGACCAGGTTTACACTTTGCCGCTCAAACAGCCCCTGCTTATTACCACAGCCTGACGGGGTCTGCAGAGCGTCCTGAGTCCCTCTTCTCTAACAAGAGCAAACAGGCCCCAGTGCTCTCAGGAGCACAGAAATTCTCCTGCAGAAACCCCAAACCGCCAAATTGTATCGTTTGTGAAAATTAAAGCCTGAGTTGGAATCATGGGGAGAGGAGGAAAATGGGAAAGGGAAAGATGAGACAGGGTCATGCAAAGTCCCAGCTGGTTATGCCCGGCCGGGGCCCTCCAGTTACCTGGACCCAGCGCAGGGCAGGAAGGACCCTGCCACGCGTGTCCGCGGTCCGCGTGGACCCCAGGCCGATGGTGAACCCTGGCAGCCTGCTCGAGAATTCTAGGCTCGTGCTTGGTTCTCGGGAGCTGGGGTTTGGGGAAGATAGAGAAGGGGTACCCACAGGCATAGAAGCCGGGAAGGACCAGCTAGCGGACTGTGGAGGGGACAGGAGAGACTTGTGAGCAGATGGGAAGCGATGCAGAACCAGGAGGGGCAGGGTGCTCTTGGAGCCCAGGGCGAGGAGTAAACATCCGGGGCAGGGGGGTGAGGAAGGAGGAAGGACTGACGTGGAAAATGAGAGCCATGGTGAGCAGATTATTCTTAAGAGAAGGATGGCAAATGGATAATTAACCTGAACAAGACTAACATCACTAATAACCGAAAATGCAAAGGAAAGTGATAAAATACCACTTTTTTTTTTTTTTGCGGTACACGAGCCTCTCACTGTTGTGGCCTCTCCCGCTTTGGAGCACAGGCTCCGGACGCGCAGGCTCAGTGGCCATGGCTCACGGGCCCAGCCGCTCCGCGGCATGTGGGATCTTCCCGAACCGGGGCACGAACCCGTGTCCCCTGCATCGGCAGTCGGACTCTCAACCACTGCGCCATCAGGGAAGCCCAAAATACCACTTGTGTCTAACAAATTAATCAACATTTAAGAAAAGATGTGGGCAGCTTCTTGTAGTCTTTGCTGGTGGGAGCACAGATTGTTATTTCTGGAAAAAGCAATTTGGTAGTGTGGACAAAAACTCTAAAAATGTTCATATCCTAAAGAAAATATCCAGAAATGTGGACATAGCTTAATGCTCCATAATGTTCATTGTGGTATTATTTTTAATAGCCCCAAATTGGCAGAAAGTAACTTATGATATGCCCATATTCTGGAATATGATGTAGTCACTGACACTGTGTTTACAAAGTGTGTTTAATGACATGGGGAATTGATTTAAAGCTAAGTGAAAAAAGAGGATCGTAATATAGAGTATGATCTCAAGAATATTGGAAAATGAAAAAAAGAATTGGCATAGCCAAACTATAGATCATTAAATAGCAATCAACAAGAGAATGAAATATATAAATATATATTTCTATGATATATTATGTGAAAAATAGTTTCTGAGTAATATGTATGGTTTCCCAATTGTGTGAAATATAAAACAAAAAACACCTCTGTGTGTGTTTGCACATATGGGTGTGCAGTATATATGCATGATGTGTGAGTATGTATGAAGGTGTGTGATGTGTGAGCCTGTGACGTGTATCTCTGTGTGTGTGTGCACGTGCGTTCACGCGCAGTAGGGGCACAGAGGATTTAGGAGGAACTGTTTCTAATAGTTCCCTCATACATCTCTGTTTTGTTTGACTTGTTACAATGAGCATGTATTACTTCTGAAATGAAAAGTTTTAATTAAAGGAAAAAGATAAATAAGGTAAGATTATAGAAGTGCCTGAAATAAAAGAAGAAAGAGTGAAAGAAACTGGGCCCAAACGCTGTAGAGGTAACTCTGGGAGGTGGATATGGCTGCCAGTGAGGTGGCCCGAGACTGATGTCTGGGCCCCCTCTCTCTGCTTGTTTGCCTCCTGACTCTGGGGTCTCCCTCTTAGACACCCCTTCTTCTGCCTAGGCCTTTAATGTTGGTCTTGTTCAAGGTCTGGGGCTTTAGCCTTCTTCATTATTTATTTATTTTTTATTGAAGTACAGTTGATTTACAGTGTGTTAGTTTCAGGTGTACAGCAAAATGATTCAGTTATAGGTATGTGTATCTATCTGTATATATATACACATATATCTATATCTATTCTTTTTCAGATTCTTTTCCATTATAGTTTAGTACAAGATACTGAGTGCAGTTCCCTGT